ACAGATATATACAGTATATATATTTTAAAGAAGCCCTTCAATGCCTCCAGGTTCTTGACAAAAACTTAATGAATACAGTGGTAATCTCTCAGATTTGCACAAGAGAATTGCAGGGCCTCATGTAGAAATTGCTCGTCCCCTTTTTAGCACATATTGTTTTGTTCATGCAAAACTCTTGCAGTTTACTTTCTATCAGTGCTGCTTTCTGAAAACTTTTATTCCTTGCCTTTTTTCTTTATTCTTCAAAGTCAACTCATGCACCTCTTAAGCCATTATTTTACAGCCAGAACTACTTGATAAATGTAGTTCCAAGGAATGAGATCCAAGAGGAGAATCTTTCATATTGGAAAAGGAAACCTTGACCTTCAGCTCTCATCTCTCTACAAGCTTTAACTCATAATACAACATATTTTGGAACCATTTAGATTTTATATCTTGGCAACATAAAGAACTTCACTAGGCACCAGAAGAAAAAAAGCATTATCTCCATTCCAGAAATATTTAAAACACAAAATAATATTTTTCTTCCTCTGCTACAGATCAGAAATGAACAACTTTGCTAGAAGGCATTTAAGATTATTATTTGTTAAATAATATCAAAGGTAACAGTGTCCATATGAGTTGGACAATGTATTGGTTAGACAGAAATATTTGGCTGAAAATATATTTTACTGTAGAATTTGTTATGTGGTCTTGAGATGATTCTGTTGGACCAGCAGAAGTGGAAGAAGAAATTGAGCCCTTGAAAAAGTGGCAATCATGTTAGACATCAGAATAAAACTTGTTTCAGCATCTTGAAGATTACCCGTCATCTTTCCACCAGTATTTACATATCTATAAAATTATAATTTCCCCATATTTCCTAACAAACACACATCCAATTATCAATCTTATCCGGTACATGATTCTGAAAATACATGAAATTACCAATCACACATCTTTATCTTACTCCCTATTTAGTGTGGTACCATTCTATTTATTATCACACATGTATTATTTAGTTATTTTATTAGTTATAATTATAAGAATACCCAATTCAGCAGTGTTTCTAGGGCCTCTATTATATGCTACCATTATTACAGTCAGTAGGTAATCCTAAATCTCATTCTTTAGTACCTTTCCTTTTCTTTGATGTTCATTTTTTTCCAGATCCACTCTTGACACTCTCAAATAATACAATGTCATCCATTCAAACCCTCTCATCATCATCATTATACTCTTCACTAACCCTCTCAATCTTACAACATAAACAATCAAATAAATTCAGCTTGCAATTCATTCTTTTTCCATTAATGTGCATGAACTTGGGTGGTCTAAGAGTCAGCTTCTTTTCTGCACTTTCCTATCTTGTCCTTTTCATGTCACCTACCAGAAGAAAAGGATTTCTTTGACTACAAACTCTAGTTGCTTTCCCAAAATTAATTTGTTTCTTCTATTAATATCATTGCCTGAAGCACAACAGGCATTTCTAACCAAGGTAAGAATTTAGACAACAATCTAGATGACACCAATTCATACTTTACAGCCCTTTATACATTTCAGCATATATCATTCATAACTAAACCTTTACCATCACTAATCCATTCCAAGAAAATTAAACCACTTTTATTCAGACCTACTATATACTCCCCTTGTTCTTAATGACAGACTTCCTTTCCTATCTTTCTTTCTTTCCTTGCATTCATACATTCATGCTCTCTGGTATTTCCTTCTTTAAATTCCAAGTCACAGTCTTGAACAAGCAATATTTTAGATTTAGTCATACCTCCACTATCTGCTTGATTCTCCACTAACAGTAGAGTCTTGTCTTTAACAGTAAAGACAAGAGCAATCAACTTCGGCCCATTTGGGCTAGTATATCACAAAAGATAGCCAAAGCCCAATTTTGCCCAAACAGGTTCATATTGTTCTGTACAAACTTGGATAGCTTACTAAAGGATCTCATATATATAGTGTGTGCGCAGGCATGTGTGTGTGTGTGTGTGTGTGT